GTCCAATTTCCCTCCTTTCAGTTTTACACTTACAAACTCAATAGTTTTTAGCTTGTAACCCTCTCAGATCAGGGCCCTTGGAATTGTCCTAACCTTCCCCCCATTATGGCACCCTTCTCTCCTACTCTCTGACTGCTGTTTGGTGACCTACTGAACTATGCATGCCTAATGTCAAATGGCAAGAGAGCTGAAGTAGAGCTTATACGTGAAAAATGCCAGAAACTACAAGAAACCAAAACCATGGCAGCCTCATAAATCCAATAAACCTTCCCAGCGGAAAGAATTGAAGAATAGTCTTTAAAATCAGTGTTTCAACCAAAACTATTCAAGCTATTCAAATGTTCTAGAACTAAACGTTCTAGTCCACAAAGAACAGTTTTTCTGTTTCTGCATTGTATTTGAGTGTGTCTGGCAGTTTTTGTTTTTTGGTATATTCTACTGCTTTATTTTTTTTTCCTACTGGGAATATCAAAAAAAGCTTGTTATGTCTGCAGACATCTTATATTTGTTCAGTTGGCTGATTTTGAAGAGCAAGTCTCTTCCTCACCTTTGCTTTGTGCTCCAGATTTTGCATTTTGCATCTTATATGTTAACATGGTTTACTACATTAAAGTTTCTTAATTTCAAAGGTCAATAGTTTATTGAATACATTTAGTGTATTTTAACATGTAACCATCTTAAAAATGAGATCTACTGCATTTCATTTATGAGTTCACTGGTCTGTTGTTTTAAACTTTCCTCAGCAGTTTAAGACTGAGAATGTCTAATAATCTTCTCGCATCGCTGTTGACTGGTGACTGAAGAATTGTGTGTTCTTTCAGATAGCTCTGACTTCCTGTCAATTCCACATTGTGCAATTCCACATAGTTCCACATCTCATCACATTTTATTTCTTTAGTATTTGTTCCTTGAAATGTTTGACTCATGGTGACCTGTTGTTCTACGTGTGTCTGTTGGAAAATCTACACAAGCGCTCACCAAACCTCCTAGTAACTAGAGTTCATCAAAAGCAGCAAATGCAACCAGTCTCTACAAGCAACTACGCAAACAACAATCTGAGCGTGATGATGCTGAGACAGCTGTGTCAATCAATGTTGTTTTGAGAAATCAGTCAGTCTCAGTGCTGAACATTACAATAACATATGTACAGTACAATATTTATACTTTATGATTTTTACACGGTAAACCCATTAAAATAATCAGTATTGAAATACAGTGTCACAAGCTCTGGCTATTAATAATATAATTCATATAATTTTTACATGAAGATATATATCAAAAAATGAATACTGCCACTCCTGTTGAGTTACATCAGAGTTTCGATCTTGTCTGTTCATCACTGACATAATTTACTGTAAACCATCTGATATCTCTGCCGTGTAGCAGATGCTTATCAGCTGTTTGTAAGAATAAGGACAGGTGGTGAGTTGAAAGTACAAAAGGATGGTGATCTTCCAGTGATTTTCAGTTCCCGAGTCACCTGGGATTAACCTTTCTTAAGATTCTTAACCTTACCAAAGAAATAAAAGTCCATTATAATAATAGTCTTGCTTAAAATGTAATTCCCTGTTTGCCAACTGAAACATTTACAACTGCTTTCTGGAGATCAGTAATTAACCATGATCTTCCAGCAGCATGCAAAAAAATATTTGAAATAGTAGTTGAAATTGCAAACAAACATCCACTTTTCAGACCTGTATGTATTTTAAATGACACAAACATTATAAGGAACTTTTGTTTACAGGAAAAAAACAACTCATTAATGCTTCTTAAACAGGGGTTTTCAAAGTTTTTGATGACAAGCAGCTCATTTTTTTTGGATCCCCTTTTCTAAAATATAAAGGGAGCTAGGCCTATATATAGTTTTCATATATAAAAACTCATTTATGCTGTTTATGCTGTGTGTGAAAAATATTACAGTAAGTGTGAACACATCCATCGATGCAGTCTGACCCAGAGTCTCGGGTTGCAAGCGGGGAAAACACCCAGGACAGATGGCCAGTCCATCACAGAAAGACAGCACATTGTTTCTTAAATTAAATAATTAGCTTCTATATAGTCATTGTACTGAAGCAAATTATTCATTATTAAAATATTACCTGGAAAATATTATTTTGTATTAAATTGACCGTGAATTTAGATTTTTTTTTTGTACAGCTTAAACCTGAAAACAAACATTTTAAAATCATTTTTTACCTATATTGAAAAGCAATCTGGACAATAAATACGTAAAAAAAAAGTTTATTTCATTATATAAGATATCATGAAAGTAGTATATGAATAACCCTTCAATCATGGTAATTTCACATTTTTCAAAAGCTTATGATTCACATTTTATCAAGTAACAGTCCATACCAAACGATGCAATAAAAATATTATATATATAAAAACACTGGCCAAAAGCACTTATGCAATGAACACATACAATAATGAAAAGAAAACACAAAAGGACCTTTTGAGCAAATGTGTGACAATAGCTCCAATAATTCAGCAAAATACATAATAAAATATATATGTACAAGAGGAAGAACACAAAGACACAGCACAGCAGGCAACAAAACTGGTTCAGTGGCATTCCAGAAGAAATCATAACAAAGTTTGTAATGTCACTTACAGTGTAGTTTTAGATCTCATTCGGTTACTTACGAGATGTGCATAACAGACTGTTTTAATAACACAGTATCAATGAAAATAACAATATGCATATTCTGAATGGTCAATGTGTGCTGTTCCAAAAATATTTATACTAAAACAACTGTCTCATCTGACTCCAGTGGCTCTTGGCTTGCAGGTGCTCCATTCTCAAAGCTTCTCCATGGCACACCGGTATCCATAACAGGTGGTCTGCATGGCACATCTATGCCCAATTCCTGTGAAGGGGGTGTATTGCATATTTCAAACAGGACCTCAAATTTATTCTCTGAATCTCCTGGTTCCTGCCAAATCAGCAGTTCGTATCTCCCAAAGCGGCAGAGCACCTTGTCATCAAGCTCAGCTCTTTCGAGGTATCTCAGTTCAGACCCACCAACCATGAGTTTGACCTTCTGGCTCATGTTCTGGATCATGAAGCTCAAGAACGGGCTGCCAGCTTTCCTATACGCCTGTATGGAGAGCTGTTTTCTGGAGACAGAGGTGTCATTTAGGACAAAGACGCAGGTCTGTCCATCACGGCCAAGCCTTACTTGATCTTCAGCGTGCATTTTGTATGGCTGATTTAGGGGTAGGTTGTGGAAGAGTGGACAAATGGTTTGGTTAGGGTGGAAGAGATGGATATGAAGACAGGCGAACAGTTCTTCGGTCTCCAGTTTGCTATTGTCATTCATTCTGGGAAACAAATGGAAACTTCTGTGGGGTTGAATTGACTTGTTGACAGTTAAACCTAAGGAAAAACGACAAGAAACAACTCGTTATGTGTTAGTAGGCTACATTGTACAGATGTATGTTGCAGCAAAACGTATTATTCTGAATTAAAGTGAGATAGATCTGTGAATAGCAGAGATCTAGCGAAAAAACTTTACGCTAAAGTATATATACGAGGACTAAATAAGTGCCGTACAGTTAAACAAAACTAGACAGTAGCTCACCTTCAGAAGCTGTTTGCAACGATCATCAGTTAACGGACTGATCGCTATGCTATGAGCTCTACAAACAAAGAGGGAATTGCATCAGAAACATCCACCCCCCTTTCAGCTTGGGACTTCTGACTCTCAAAAACTCCAGAGTTGCGCAACTGACTTCCATGCTTTCGCTATCTGTTTCATATTATATTTCTACATTATTGTTTGACCTGGAGATACCAGACACGCTGTATTCTCGTTTTGATCAAAAAGAAAAAGCCCATGTTGCGTAGCCTAATGTTAAAACTTAAAGCACTCGTCAGGCTTTATCTTGTGACATGACAACGTTTTAAAGACCAGATAAAAGAGGTGTTTAAACATGACTGTGAACACGTTTATGGTCATCATTTACGATGTCTTATCAGTCACTCCCCAGAAACATCCTAACAAAATTGTAAAACCACAGGGAAGGGAAGTTGATGAGAAATGTTGGCGGCTTTTAGGCAGCTGAATGTCAATTGCATGTCAATTTCATCATCATAGCAAAATAACATTCTTTTAACATAATCTATAAACACGCAACACGTAGGCTAAAACAAGTAAGAAATAAGAATGCTTAGGCTATATTTCATTTATCTTTGCTCAGCTTTCAATGTGGTCTGGAACAGCTTGCTTTATCCCAAACATTAACACTATAAAAGTGATGATACATTTATGAAACAAAGTTTAAAAACTTAAGTGAACACGGATATCAAAACTAGACAGTAAACAATTGCGCACTCTTCATCTTTTTTGCTCAAGGGCGGATCTCAGTCTAATCTAGGGTAGTGCATTACCACAACCTACTGGTAGCATAGAGACCCGGATTAAAACCATACAAAATCTTTATTTCTGTCTAATTAAATTCTATTTACCACTGTAGCAATAGTGATTTATTTAACTGCCCAAGTGACATGCAGACTTTGTTTTTGTTGTAAACACTAACCAGTTACAGAAGCAGAAAGACTTGTCTGAGTGGAATAGCATGTGAGATAAAATGATGTTTAGGAGACTGTGGGAGACCTCATTTCTGGCAGAATAAAGTTTCTTGTGGTGGTAAAAGAATTCTGAGATTTTCTTGTGTTATTATTTCTATTTTTATTAGAATTCCCAGACTCTTCTGCTTTGTCGTTCTGCTTTTTGATTTTTGCAATGAATGATAACATAAACATTCGTTTAATAGTGCATTGCTTGGCTGATAAAATATTTTCTTCAACCCAATTCCTGCCAGAAAAGCTGTGTCTGCTTCCTCATTCCCCTCGTCTCATACGAGTGCACAAAAAGTCACAATTGATTTATCATCCATTCAGAACCGTTTCTTTTTAACTTTCCACAATTCTAACTGGCCACGTTCCGCGTGATCCACATTCTTAAATTTGATTGGTTTATTCAGCCTGGTGGGCGGGACTTATAGGAAGTATATTACTGAATGACGCACCCTCTCTTCCTCATTGTGGTGAGAAACAGGCGGTGAGTATTGTGTCTTAGTACTTTGACCTTTATTACATCAGTATTAAAATTAAGGTTTAACACGCGGAATTAAGGCATTTATGATATAAGCAGCTTTTATATGGTATGTAAAAACTCTGTTAATCGGCTGCATGTGAACGTCGTACATACATCTTGTTTATCTTGGCGCGCAATGGCTGTTCGGCTAACGTACTAAGCTAACGTTGTTAGCCTATTCAAACCTAGCACCATAAACGGAGTTTTCCCTCAAGGCGCTGGGCACTTAAATCGACGATTACTCGCTGTATTCCTGTTCTCGTGATTTACGAGCATAAATACTTTAAAGAATATGCCGTAAATAAACTTAATGTTTGTCGAGGTTTCGTAGTCCGCTACTATTAAGATATCACACGAGGCCGTGGCGCATATAAACGTGCGAGGAGAATTCTTGATTGGTTCGTACGAAACTTCATTTAGTTCTGCTTAACGTAACAACGTTTTATTTAGTCGTGTTTGCGTGTATGTAGGGTGAAGTAAAATTTAAAGTATTTGCATAAACTGGTTTGACTTGATTGGCTTCTCAGGAAGTCCACTGTGAAAGGTTTCAATTTCAGTTTAGCACCAGGCGTGGTTTCGTGTTCTCATTCTTCTAACGTTACGTTGATTTGCAAAAAGCCATAGCCCATTACAATAACCATAGTAATTTGCTTTGCTGGCAACTCATTGTAAGTGTATCTTGTCACAGTGCGTTTCAGGCTCTGCGTAACACATTAGCGAAGATGGTGAAGATCTTCATTGGGAACCTGCCTCCGCAGGCAGAAGCAGATGAAATAAAGTCTCTGTTCACTCAATATGGAACGGTCACTGAGTGCGCCATTATCAAGAACTTTGCCTTCGTCCACATGGATGATCGCAAAAGTGCAACAAAGGCAATTAAAAACCTTCATTTACACAAGCTGCATGGAACACCCATCAATGTTGAAGCGAGTCGGGGCAAAAACCAGGGTCCTGTGAAGCTTCATGTTGCCAATGTGGAGAAAGGAGCAGATGAAGAGCTCAGAGCGCTGTTTGAAGAGTACGGCACAGTTGCCGAATGCGCCATCATTAAGAACTTTGCCTTTGTACACATGAGCAATTCCGATGAGGCCATGGATGCCATCAAGGGGTTGGACAACTCTGAATTCCAAGGTAAATAATCCAGTCTGTCTTTCATATCCTTTTGCATGTTTATCACATTTGCTAATATGAAATGTTTTTGCATTTGCAGGCAAACGAATTCATGTGCAGATATCAAAGAGTCGACCAAGAGGCGAGGAGGAAGATTACGGCCCCCCAGACAGTGGATTTTGGCCACCCCGTTTCTCTGGTGACCGGCCTGAGCCCCCTGGTTATCCTAGGGGTCGCTTCGGGTATCCCCCTGGTCCCCCTCCACCACCACCACCCATGCCTCCCAGACGCCCCCCATACCCAGAGCGTGCAGCGCCGGCATACGAGCGTGCAGCGCCGGCATACGAGCGTGAACGTGGTGTGGTCGACTATTACGAGAAGTACCGCGCTCGCCCTTACGGTGTCTCCTCATATGAGGACCGGCACCTGGGTGCCATCCCCCCTCCCCCACCGCCCCCGTCATCTGGCATTATGAGAGAGAGATTGGCTGGCAATGGCCTCGACCCCTATGAGCGACGCCCCCTTCCACCCCCGCCATCCTCGTACTACGCACGAGACCGCAGTCCCATCAGACGTGCTCCTCCTACCCCTCAGACACCCGCCGGGAATGGTTACTCATTCGAGCGATCTCGTCTCTCCCCTCTCTCCATGTCTCGGACCCCGATGTACAGCATGCCTCGGGCCAGAGACCCCTATGCTGACAGGGCGCCGCCTCCACCTCCGCGCTACTCGTATTAAAGTGCACCACTGCGCTTTTGTAATCCAAGGTGAGAATAGGTCCCTCAACCCAAAAATGAGCTCTGAAATGCCCTCTTAATATAGAACCAAGAATTCACGTACTTGCCCTGTTCTGCGTGTCGTGTAATTGATGCGCAAGTAGCAGTAACGTAAACTTTGTATCAAAGTGCCTGGATTATACTTATTTATTTATTTTTTTTTTAAATGGCCTTACGGTCTTTTTAAAAGCACTGCTCGAGGAACGCTGAACTTCGTATCGAAGTGTTTAGATGGTAAATTCTAGTAACCGTATGGTATATTAAGCTCTCACTTCATATTAATCAAATAGACTTCATACAAATCTTTATTTTAAGTTAGCTTGTCGATTCAGTAATCCCAGATGGCACTGCAGCCGTTTGACTCATGTGGTTTGCTTTCTTTCCAGGTGTAAATTATTCAACAAGATCGTCGTCGTTGTCTCCAGGTGCACGTGCCGCGATACGTCTTTGTCTGCCAGAGCGCGTTTCGTTCGCCTGCGCACCATAGTGGAAGAGTTCTGTTGCGGACTGCACATTCTATAAAACTACCGCTTTTACACGCATAAAAACGTCATGCTAAATTGTCAATTCTGCTTTATTTTTTTGCCTTGTTTTTATTGTTTAACATTGGATAGGTGAGAGAAGCACTAAGCCAGAGTACGTAAATTAGGTTAACTTGGTGGTTTGGTAAAGACTATTAAAGGAACGCTTATAAAAATGATTCTTTCAAAGAACACTTCAATGTATCACACTGTACCTTTTTACCTTTAAAATCTGGAATGAGGTTATCGTTTGTTATTAAACTACTGTAACAAGCGCTATGAAAATTTTAATTTGAAAACAAAAATTCATTTGTGTAAAGGTTTTTTTTTTTTTTTCTCTCTTTCCCCTCTCTAAGCTATTTGTTAAAGTGCGGCATGCAAGTAAGAATACAGTCTCCGCAGCAATAAAACCTTTCCGTCTACTGGCTTTATTGAAATTGTGCTGTAGTGTGCATTTTTAATGGCAGAGTATCGAAGTTAAAGGACTTTGTATCATTTTCTTTCATAGGAACACTTGGAAGTTTTAATAAAAAGACTGGAACTTGGTCCGTCGTTTTGCTTTTCTTGCCAACCTTTAAAATTCAATTTGCCGAAATAGGCATGAAAGTAACTATATAGCCTAGAGTTTGACACATTCGAATTAAAACCCATAACATCTTGCTTCCTAGTTTAGAAGTATTACGGATAATGGAACCGCTTCTGCGGCGAAATGAAAACGATTACATCACTTCGTCTTCAAGGCTATTCTTTTGCCCTAAACCATTGGCGTCTCACTATTCCTGGTCTGTGTCCAAATAATCCTGTCATTCTGATTCACAAAGTGGGTAGACTTCCCAATATTTCCTTAATCAGTGGTCCTTTTTAAGTTTGATTGTGCCAGGTAAGTCACTTGATTTAGTTTCTTTACAACTCTGCATGCCTTTATATACTTAATTGTTTCAAGGTATAGCTTAAGTACAGAGACTGCATATGTGTCTCAATGACATGTATTTGGATCCAAATGTTTTGCAAGTGATCTATTTTAGGATTATAGTTTTATATTTTAGGTTAACTTTTATGCATCCCCCCCCCACCCCCCATAGTTCTGTCTTGATTTTACAATAAAATGTGTTATGGCTGTTCATTCATTTACCTGTGGGACACCAAATGAATGTGCCTCTTCCGGTGTTGAAGATCTCAGCATAAAAACTTATTTTATTTTTCCTTTTAAGGTGATTGCACTTTCAATAAAGCGCTTTTTTTTCCTGCCCAAACTGTCTTTGCTGTTATTTTTAAGAATATTGCAGTTGTGTATTAAGGTATATGTATATATTTTGTGTATATATAAAAAAAAAAAATATATATATATATATGTTCAACATGCACATATGCTGAGTTTAACACTCAGGGTTAAACTGCTGTGTGTGTATTGTGGGACACCAAATGAATGTGCCTCTTCCGGTGTTGAAGATCTCAGCATAAAAACTTATTTTATTTTTCCTTTTAAGGTGATTGCACTTTCAATAAAGCGCTTTTTTTTCCTGCCCAAACTGTCTTTGCTGTTATTTTTAAGAATATTGCAGTTGTGTATTAAGGTATATGTATATATTTTGTGTATATATAAAAAAAAATATATATATATATGTTCAACATGCACATATGCTGAGTTTAACACTCAGGGTTAAACTGCTGCGTGTGTGTATATATAATTATAAAGTACATTTGTTTGTTAAACATTGAATCGCTTAACCTTTATAGTAGAGGGTTAAACTGCCAAATGTGTTAAAACATTTGACAAAGTATTTGAAATGGTGACTTTAAATTTAAAGCAACCAGGCTATTTTAACAGCTGTGTAAACCTACTGGATCAGTGATTCCTGGCCCTACATAACTTTTATTTTTTTTTTTTATTGAACTTTCAAAAATACAAAATTCTGCAAGTTCTTCAGATATTTAAGTTTTTTTTTTCTTCCATTTTGCGAGTGCAAACAAACCAATAAATTAAACTGAAAAACAGGAAGATATTAAAATTAAAGGGCATCACAGACATGAGATAAATTATTTTAACAGGTACAGCTTTTCGGGCTTTTTTATTTTTAAAACCGATTTTAAGTGAACTTCAACGGCTGTTTGAAAATGAGCAGAATTAGGTTTTGAGTTACCCCATTTGGTCTGTTAAGTATAAAATTCAACAATATATCGATAATTTTAATAAAGATTAAAGCCAATTGAACATGTTTGTTTACTTGTATAATTTTTATATAATTCATTACAGTTTTTAGTGACATCTGTGCTTCAGATTGGGCGTTTATTTGATCTAATTTGAAATATAGTAATATTTTAAACACTGAATAATTAGTAAAAGCTGTGTTAATTCAGACACACTGCTCTGAACGCGTGTTGGGTTTTTTGTTTACTCGTGGACCGGAAGTACTGTCGGTGACGGCGGGCGACTCCATTTTAGGCTTCATTCATCTTGGCAGCCAGTGAGATTACGTGCTCGCTACGGTAAGGCAATGCTGTTCCTACATAATCGACTATGAATTACTTTACATGAGTGCTAGTGTTTAGATATCACATGCAGATAATGCAGTCTGGCGTAGTATTGTAATGTAACGGCATGTTTCTTAATAAGGCCACGTCTTCGGGTAACTTTATGTAACGTTAGTCGTGCTAACTTAGCGTTGCACAGTCGACACCATTGGCCTATAGCTCTTAAAACCTCACCGACGCTCATCGGTCGTACTTAATCGTGTATCGGGCATTAAAAACATAGTTGAATGATGAAAAATAAAACGTAAGGAGGTTAATACGTTGGGTATGATGGACGTTAATTCGGCTGCGCCATAAAGTCGAAGAACTGAACCTGGTTTTCCACTTTACCGCTTTCATCAGATCAGTGAGTGTCACTCACAGCATATTTAATGCTGAGTGGTGCGAAATCATTCTGGCCTGAAGCTACACAATCGAAACAAATAAAAAAAACTCTGATAGGATTAAGTTGTCTATGGTTGGTTTTGTAGGCCAACACAGCAGTAATGTAGGGAATCATCTGTTGATATAACGTGAATTTAGAAACTATGCTCCCTCTGTCCAGGAAAAAACGGCAATAAAGATGGTTAAGATCTTTGTTGGCAACCTATCCTCAAGCACGACCGCGGAAGATCTGCGCTCTCTTTTTTCTGAATATGGCAAAGTAAAAGAGTGTGACGTCCTGAAAAATTATGGCTTTGTGCACATGGAAGGTAAGCAGGAGGCCGAAGAGGCTATTCGCAAACTCCACCATCACGAGCTGAAAGGTCAAGCCTTAAATGTGGAGACGAGCAAAGGGAAGCCCAGGGGCTCCACCAAACTGCATGTGAGCAACATCTGCAGTGGCTGCACCAATCAGGAGCTCCGGGCTAAATTTGAGGAGTATGGCCCTGTGGTAGAGTGTGACATAGTGAAGGACTATGCCTTTGTTCACATGGAGCGAATGGAAGATGCCATGGAGGCCATCAGTGGGCTGGATAACACGACCTTCCAAGGTGAACCTTAATCCGAAACGACGAAATCCATGGTTATCCAGAGTTGAATTTTACTCCTTACATTTTTTTAGCATGGGAAGAATGTACTACTCCTTTTTCAGTTCTTTGTAATTGCTGAAGAGAATCCATTTTCTAGGTAATTGGCAGTAGACCTCAGATACACTAATATTAAAGGGATAGTTCATCCAAAAATGTTTTATCTTCAAAACACAAATTAAATTTTAATAAAAACCTAAGAGATTTCTGTTCCTCCATTGAAAGTCCATGTAACCAAAAGTTTGATGATTCAAAAAGTTGATGATAACATTGTAAGTGCACATACATCGAGCACATTTAATATGGTTAACAGGCTTTCAGTGGAGGAACAAAAATCTCGGTTTCATTAAAAATATCCTAATTGTGTTTCAAAGATGAACCAAAGTTTTATGGGTTTTAAGCGACATGACGGCAAGTAAACGAAGACGGAATTTAAATTTTTGGGCAACCTAACCCTTTAAGTGCTTTGTGGCTATCGTGATGCAATAATTATCTTTTAAATTGACGGTTTACGTGAGCGGAAGAAAGTTTTACATTGTCTTGCGTGTGTTCTCTTCCTCTCACAAGGCAAGCTGATCAAAGTACAACTGTCCACAAGTCGCCTCCGTACAGCGCCCGGCATGGGAGACCAAACTGGCTGTTACATCTGCGGAGAACCGGGCCATTGGTCCAAAGATTGCAGGCGTGGCCAAAACGGTAGCTATGGCGGAGGCATGGGGGGATTTCCCGGTGGTAGAGGCCCCCCAAGGAGTGCTCCGAGTTACGGCATGGGCGGCCCTGGAGGTCTTCCTAGTAGAGGTTACCCAGCAGGGCCGCTTCCCCCTCCCCCACCTATGAGCCGGCGTCCCAGCTACGGCGAGTACGTCGCGGATGCTCGTGAACGGTACCCCAGCAGGCCACCGAGCTCCTATCCCGAGAGGCCGTCCGCATATGAGCGCGAACGCTACGGAAGCATTGACTATTACGAGAAGTATCGGGCTCGTCCGGCTGGCTCTAGCTTCTTCGAGGAGAGTAGGCCTCTCTCTATTCCCCCTCCTCCTCCCCCTCCCTCTTCTTCCTCTCTCTCAAGGATGCGGTTGGCTCCTCCCAGCCTCGATCCCTATGAGCGACGCCCTCTGGCGCCTCCGCCTCCCACGGCATCGGCGTACTTCTCGCGGGACCGTAGCCCAATCAGACGTGTGGGCGCCGGTTCGGAAGGCTACTTGTACGAGCGCTCGCGACTTTCCCCGGTATCAAGGAGCTCATCGACTTACGCCGTGCCGCGGCCCAGAGAGAACTACACCGAGCGGGTTCGATACGCATACTAAGCCACACACATGCTAAGGTGAGCGATAGCGGGTCGTTAACTTGGATCACTCAGATGAGATGCCAGCGTGATCTGTTCTAAGCGTAAGCCATTTCGAGTACAGTAGTAAGCGAAGCCGCTTTGCTCGGGTTAAAAAGTACAAATGTCAGAAAATAATGTCAAGTTTTTCATCTCACAGAATATTTGTTCCTTTTTTTTTTTTTTAGGTGTTGTCAAGTGAAGAGACTTCCCTTCCACCTATAAGACTTTGCCTCAATCAGATGCTCCATTGGATTTCAAAGATGCAGGATTTGATTGATCACAATGCTTATTAGCTCTGCTCATTAATGTTTTACCCATAATGCACAAACTGCTGTTTAATTTCCCTTTCCAAAGGATCTGTAGCCTATATGATTGCAAGAAGTGGTTGTGATTTTGGTTTTTGCTTTGCTTTTCCAGAGGTAAGGTGGGGGGGGGTGTCTAATGTCAGCATAATTTTAACTCCGCTATTAACTACAATTACACAGATGCTCTGTGAGATTTAGAATTTTACTTTCGTCTCTACTTTCCCCCAGTCAAGTTGTTGTGATCCACTATTATTTACCCTTTTTAGTGCTCCCAAGACTTTTCTTCAGCTGTCAGGTTGGTTTGCCACTTAAATTTCTTTGATTTATGTTTGGTGACGACAATCTGGTTATGTTTCTTCTGGCAATAATAATGCCAGCATTGTGTATTTATAGGGGGAGTGGCAATCTGTAATTAATCCTGCGGCTGCAAAAAGCTTTTTGGGGGGGAAAAAAACTAAAATTCAACATTCCAACATTTTTTATTATTTGCTACAGGTGATTGGTATATACAAACTGTTCAGATTTGAATTGTACTTGCTTGTTGAATTGTGTTATCTCATTGGTACGTTCAACAGGATGGTCAGCTTGTTTCTCCTACCAATATCTCTTGAGTTTTTGTGATTTGGGAGCTTGGACGTGAATTTTGAGCTTGTTTTGATTACCCCCCTTAAAAATATGATTTCGTATACAACCTAAATAGTTGGGCAGCTTTCAGTGGGATGCAAACTGTTTTCTGTTCTGTACACACCAAATTACTGTTTATGGCAGGAGATCATTACGTTATATGAAGATGCACCTAGATGGAAAGTGGACTGTACATGTGAGTGAATTGGAAAAGTGCATTAGATGTGCTAACCAACTCTCACTCAGGGCTTTATTCGCCTTTTGAGACTGCTAGCGTTTACTGGTGATTCTTCTTTATGGGTGCCTTGGGAAGCTCTGTGAAAAAGTTTATAAATTAGATTTTCTGTAGTTTGTATATTTCCTACAGAAGTCAGGAGTGTGTTTTATGAATTATCTTTTGTAATAAACCAATATTTTGGTGACAAAAATACCGGTGTCTTTCATAGTAGAATCCT